AGGGCCTCGTTCCACTACTCGCCATCCGCCACGCATGGCGGACACGACTTGGTTCCACTGCATCGCCAATAGCCACGAAATGGAGGCTGTCAGAATTTGGGTGTGAAATCACTTGGCGATGTGCCGCCAAGGCTTTCCATTTCCCCTGCCTGCAACGGCCCTTCGTGGAGGCTCTACTCCTCACCCCTCCATGAAATGTTTCGTGTGGCCATTGCCCCTGACACAGCCATCCTGATGGTCTACCTGCGTTGTCCCCTAGTGTTGGCAAGTTTTAGCTGCACCTGGAGTGATTTCCAGTCCGAGTACATGGTGAAGAGAAGGCGGCCACCGTTCCATTAGCTCGCCATCCGCCACAATCCGGGGAGCAGGCCGGGGCAGCAACCACAGCGCACGTGGCGGCGGCGATGTAATGGAACAGAGACCCTTTTTCCGCCAGAAAAATGCAGTTTTCGGCCTCCCCAAGTCTCGCCACTGTTTGTGGCGGATGGCGAGTAGTGGAACGAGGCCCTTAGTGTGTTTTTTTGGGATCCCATCTGTTTCCATGGCATTGCATGTAGGACTCAGTAGGAGGCTTCCCCAGCGACGGAGGCAAGTGAATTCCAAAACGTTTGCCGGTGTGTTGTCTCGGGAGGGATAGACCGCAAGAAAATGATTGTGCCCTTTTGGGAAAGAAGCCGATGCGAAAAAGAAGGCGGCTTCTTTCGTTGTTGTTGTTGTTTTCTTTTTTTTCCCCCTTTTCCACCACGGCCATAGGCTGCCCAAAGAAATTCCGGCGGCTGCCCTCCCTCGTTGAAGTTCCTCGCCTAGTATACCTTTCTCAGCATTTTGGCTAAAAATAGATCAAGAGTAGTATCTGTTCTGATCAGTTTAATATCCGATCCGTGGTCCATCTGTCCACACGATACTAAATTATTTTTCTCTGGGCTACGGAGGGGTCGTACGGGTAGGCTTGCTTGCTGTATCCCTTCAGCATTGCCTCTGTATTGCACTGCAGCAGAGTGCGGCGCAGCCCTTCTCCCCTAGGGGGAAATTAAAATTTTGAAAGATAATAATAAGTTCCAGGCCTACTGGAATGGTAGGACCACATTCTGTTTTAAGGGGCTGATCCGACTACTACTCTTTTTGGGAGAACCAGCAAGAACAGCGTTGTTCGGTCCCCGGCAGGTCGGACCCAAGGAGCGAAATTGCATCCCACATGCCCGGTTGGGGTGGGACCCTTCTAAGTTCGTGGCGGGTATTCGCGGGCGGGGCATGCACCGACATACGGCGGAAGGCGGACCACCGGACACCAAGAAAATGAAAAATAAAATAAAAAATGGTGCTGGCTTCTTCTGCTTTTGGAAAGTTCTTTTTTGCCCCTGTCAAGTACACATTTGTTTTCACTACCCTCCGAACTCGAAGGGAAGACCTGCAAACTTGGAAAGTAGTCAGATCCCGTGGTACTACCTTCTTCCCCCAAATACGACGTATGGTCATTATAGCTGTATCTACTATCTAGACTGAAAGATGCCTCAAATACAGCTATGATGATCGTACGTTGTATTCGGGTGAATACTGTAGTCGGCTGAGCCCCTAAGGCCCGTCCACTGTGCCTCCTTTTTTTTTTGAGAAAACTACGGCGCAGTCAGGGTTACAGTTTGTAATTGCATTTGGAACTGCGTTTTAGCAGTTTAGTCAGGGCCCGAGTTTCAATTGCAGTTGAAACTGCGTTTAGCACTTTGAAACTCGGGCTGGCTTTTTCTAGCAGTTCAGTCAGGCACATGGTTTTTTTTTTTTTTTTTTTTTTTTTGGTTGCGTGCCGTAGCGCGCCGTGCCGCTCCGCAGCTGGGAAAAAAAAAACAAAAAAAACAGCCCTATGGTTGGGCCACGGCCGAGATGTCTCGGCCACAGCTGAGATTCGCAGGTACTACCCTTCACAGGCAAACATGAAGTCTCAAGAGTAACCTACTCCGAAGAAGTGGGGGGGGGTTGGGCCAGGGATGGAGGCCAAAAATAGAAAAAAAGAAAAAGAAGAAATAAAAAAGTAAAGAAACGAGGAACTTCCAATCCACCTACGTGGAAGGCCCTCACCTCATCAGTGCTTTTAGGAATGTATCTGGCCAGGAAGTGAGGAACACGAAACAGGTCGTTTTTATTTTTGGTTTCTTGTGTGAGGTCCTTGTATCGCCCTGCCAGCCAGGCAGGGCGGATTCCAAGCAGGAAGCTAACTTCCTTGCTTCATTCAGTTCCAGACAAACACTGTGGCATCCTGTATAGGACCGCAGTCACAGCATAAGGGATGTTTTTATTTTTATTTTTTATCTGCTGTTCGTGGATAGACGAGGGCCCTGACTGAACTGCTACCTAAAGGCAGCCCGAGTTTCAACTGCAATTGAAACTTGGGCCCTGACTAAACTGCTAAATAGCAGTTTCAAATGCAATTACAAACTTCTTCTGTGACTGCACCGTAGTTACCCCTCTTTTTCTTTTTTTTTAACAAACAAATGCTCCATTCTATTTGTGGGGAGCAGCACATGCTGGGAACCGGGCCCAGCGTCCCTTGTACAACAAACTGAGGTTTGGGGTCGGGGTCCCCACAGTCTACCTGGAAAACGTTTACAGCCCCATTCTCGATAATGCCTACGATGTTCATTGCTTCCTCGTCGGCAGAGACATAGTTGTCTCTGCCAGATTGAGGAAGAATAGATCCAAGTCGTTCCTATTCTGTGTTGTTGGGATAACCTTGGGCGATGGCGGTAGGTGCACGTCTGCATTTCGATTCGAAGCAACTGGTGCTCACACAAACTGGGGGAAAACCTCAAACTGTTTCGTTGCGAGTTTCCATCCGGACGATGAAACGGGTCCCTAACCCGGCCCAAATAGGGATGATCCGAGACATTGATCCCGAGGAATGCTCTCCCTCGGGCCTCGGGGATGGAATCAGGGAACGAGAATACAAAGAAGAGGTGCCCAGTAAAGAGGAATGAAAGCATCTGGTTGAACTTTTCGAACATGAAAACCCCGAAGAATTTCGAGAGTGCCCCGACACCGCTCGAAGCTTCCACGTGGATTCTGAAGACAGTGCATTCACGCCTCTAACAACCCAGGTCAGTCCTTCAGTCCTCCTCGGGGAACCCATATTACAAGTTTCTGATCTGGCTGATGATTTGAAACCCCCTCGCACCTTGTACGAAGGAGCTCTTTCCTTACGAACGCGTTATCAGCAAATGGAACAGTATTTGGGCGTTTCTGTTTTTCCACCCCGATCATTACTAACGACAGGAGCCACCATCGCCTTGATTAAACAAGAAGCGGAAGCACCGGTAAGTGACGTGCCGAATTTAATGCAAGAAATGACGGATCTAACAGGGCTAACTGTGGAACTGACTTTAGTTGGTTCAGAGACTGATGCTGAAACTAAAAAAACGGAGATGATCAGCCCCACTGAGTCCCAGATGATAGCAACTATCTTTTCTGTTCGCACCAGTAGTTCCGTTTTCTCTAGTGTCCATGAGCGGCGGGAACGGCCTGTTGATTGGATCGATATGCCCCTTAATATGTTCGGGGAATCGACGATCCCCCTCCCAAGTCACGTTCCCGCGGAACTTCAGAAGTCGTTAATCTGTGTATTGAATGGTTATGCAGAAGTGCTGAGCGTGCATGACAATGATATTGGGTTAACTAATGTAATTGAACATGCCATCCTCACAGGAGATCATCTGCCCATTAGCTGCGCTCCCTATCGATACTCAGCAGCTCAAAGAGCGGCCGCCTTTCAGCGGATTAAGGAGTTCAAAGCTAATGGATGGATCGAACCTGCTATAGGTCCATGGTCTTTCCCTGTAGTGATCGTACCTAAGAAGGCTGGAGGGATTCGCATTTGCATTAATTATCAAAAGTTGAATGATATCTCAATTGAAGATGTGTATCCCCTCCTCCGGATTGATAAGTTATTGGATGGGATTGAGAGTGCTCGATTTTTCAGCAAATTCGATGTTCGTCATGGGTTCCATCATCTTCTTGTCCGAGAGAAAGATCGACAGAAAACAACGTTTGTACTTTTCGAGGGCACGTGGCAATGGATTCGATGTCTGATGGGTATCTGCAACGCTCCTGCGAATGTTCAGCGGGCCATGAACATGGCTTTTCAGAATTTCGTATGGAAGACTCGCCTGGCGCAGAGCATCATCAACTACTGCGTGATTGTGTACATGGATGACATCTTGGTGTATTCGAGCTCCTACGAAGGACACGTGCAACACATCGAATGGGCACTACATGCATTACGAGATGCAGGTTTCAAGGTGGCGCTCGAGAAGTGTCAGTTTTTCCTCACCACCATTTCCTTCCTGGGGCACGTGGTGACAGACAAAGGACTCCAACCGAAGCCGCAGAAGGTGGCAGCTGTCAGGGACGCGCCAGTGCCTACCACTATCACGCAAGTTCGCGCCTTTCTGAGCATAGCCTCGTATTACCGAAGATTTATCAAGGGCTTCGCGGCGATTGCGGGACCCCTCACAAATCTCCTACGCAAGGATCAGCCGTTGATCTGGACGCCGGAGTGCGATCAAGCGTTTTCCAAACTCAAGGCTGCTTTCATTTCGGGTCCGGTCCTTATAAGACCGGATCCCGAAAAACCTTTTGGTATCATCACCGACTGGCAGCCAGAGGCGATTTCGGCGATCCTTGCCCAGGTGGGACCAAGCGGACTCGAGAGTGTGGTGGAGTATGCGTCCAAATCATTACCCGCCTGCAAGCGCAACTACGCCGCTTCGACGGGAGAATGCTATGCGGCTCTCTGGGGAATCAGTCACTTTCGTGCTTACCTATACGGGCGAAAGTTCACCCTGGTGACTGATCATGAGCCCTTGTTGGCTTTGAAGAAGTCGAAGGATAACTCGGGCATGATTGGGCGATGGGCAACGATGCTGCAGAGCATGGACTTTGACATCCGTCATCGGAAGCACGAGAGACACGAGAATGCGGACGGACTGACACGACTGCACCGGCCTGAGAAACTTCTGAGGAATGAGGAGGTGATTCTGTGGAACGAACCCGAACAGGAGATTGGACCTCGGTACGGCGAAGTGGGGATCTTATCGAAGCACTAAGTGACACGAGGACTAATTATTATGTTCTACCCTCCCTGCATCCCCTCCTCCTCTGCCATCATGACTTCCCCACTCACCTCCGCAATCCCTTCTTCTCCTACTAACTCTGCCCCTCTCACTTCCTTGGCATTCTTCGCCACCCTTCCCGATAAATTCTGCTATTTTTGCACGTGTATTGCACGAGTTTATGGGGTCGACTGTTATCCCTTCGAGACCGGATTTGTCGATTGGGTAGAATGTGCCACGTGTGTCAACTGTGCGCATGGGGCCTGCGTTCGATATCGGACGAGTAGCAAGGAATGGAGGTGCCCCCTGTATAGAATGAACAAGCTCCCCACGAAGGTCCGATTCGAGGCTGCCCGTACGGACGGTCCTGAATATGACGAAAAATACCGACGGGCGGAAGTCTGGACGGAAAAACTTTTATTGGCAAAACTAGCGGGATTATCATTGGGCCACCTCACCAAACACGACAGACGTAGGGCGACCGAGAGATCTCGGGACTATCGATGGATCAACGGTCATTTGGAAAAGCGTAAAACTGACGGATCGGGTTCATGGCTGACAGTTCCCCATCCCTTCCAGAGATACGATTGGATCCGATCTGCTCACGAGGAACATGCTGCTCATTTCGCGATACGTGTCACGGAGGCAACTGTAGTCCAGAATCGATGGTTCTGGTCCAATATACGAGATGATGTCAAATACATTGTCGCTAACTGTCTGGTCTGTGCCGCTGATCGCGCCCCTATACGGGGGCCAAACACGATCGTGCCAACGGAAGTAGAGCGTCCTTTCCAGCGTGTCAGTATGGACACGATATATATTGACGTACCACCTGGCCCAAACCACTGTCAATATTCCATCCTGTTAGTTTTAATTAACCATTTTTCCAAATACATCGAAGTCTATCCTTGTAAGACCCGAAAGGCCGCCGAAATAGCCACATACATCGAACGATTCCTCTATACCCATCTAGATATGGAAGAAATTCTTATTGACAATGGGTCGGAATTCAAAGGTGAGGTAGAGGAACTGCTTAAGCGAAGGGGCGTCACGCTCCGACATATGGCACCCCACGTATCCCAGTCGAACGGGTTGGCCGAGAATGCCCACCGTATGATTAAAACCGCCCTTCGCAGGAACTTAGCGGCACACGACACGCGTCCTTGGCCCGAGATCGTATATCAGATCGTTGGGATCCACCGGGCCACCCCTCATGAGTCTACGGGGTTTACCCCCTTTCAACTTCGAACTAATAGCCTCCCCTGTGTCGATTACCGGGGTAACTCGAAAATTGCTGAGGCACGGGGTAGAGACACGCGTGCGGCCCTCAAGGCCAAGGCCAAAAGGTACACCGATTTGATGGAACGGGCCGTTCCGAACCTAGCCCGAAAAAGACAAAGGATGACCGAGGTGGCCCACGGTAGACAGGTCCGTAGCTACGAGGCCCGGAACGGAAATGCTGGGCCCCGGTACCAGTATAAATTGGGGGACCTAGTGCAGGTGCGTAAATGTGCACGCGACCGGAAACTCGCTCCCAAGTTCTCTGGCTGTTTTCACATTGTCGAACTCGGGCCCAACGACGCTAACACGGTGCGCATCGCGCCTGAGGCTAGCACCAGCCATAGCTCCGTCCCCATCGTCAGACATACCTCCTACCTCCGTCTCCTTCCTCCTTCCGATTTTCCTCCCCCTTTTTCCGCGGAAAGCGAGGAAAACGACGACGATCTAACCCTCTCTCCTCTTTCTCCCTCTTGTCCCTCGTCCTCCTCTCCGAGCTCGCCATGAGTTTCATCATGGAACGGGTTCTCGACGCACAACTGCGGCAGCCACGTGGCCACATCTCAGAGATCCGACAAGTTTGTCACCCTCGGCTCAATACGGATCTCCGCCGTTTGATGCGATTCTTCTGTGACGAAGGTATCTGTGTTGCCGCCGCGTTTTGGATAGAAGGAAGCCCTCACGCGATAGTGTTCGCAGATGTTACTGCAAATCATCGGCGAGCGGGTCCCAGAACGAGCCACGTCACCACAGTCGCGGGATTCACCGGTGACATCAGCTCGGTCAATCCGTTGCGGCATACCGCGATCTTGGCCTCGCTGCGCGAGTGGACGGAGCAAGTGTCCAACATGTGGCAGCACGTCCTCGCCCGGGAAGGGTATAACATCATCCCGATCTTTGCATCGGACCTTGACGGTATTCGCCGATCACCGCGCGAGCGGCCAGTAGCGATCCCGACCATCGTCCCCTTCCCCCATCCCTAATGAACCACACTGCTCTTCTCGCTCCTCGTTCGAGCCTCTTTCAGTCCCTCTTATCATTCCTGGACATTGACGATTGTGGCACGAAACTTTTGAGGAGCTGTCCTTTTGCTTGGCCAGAGTACAGGTGACGTGGACGGATACTAGCGAGCATTCCACGTGGATCGAGAATCCGAAGTTGTTGATCATACAGGGTTGGAGGACTAACGTGGAAGGTGACCTTATTGGATTCCTCTTTGGATCGGTACGACCGGGTCGCCGTCAGTTGATTGCACAGGAGCTCATCGCACCGATCGTGCAATTGGTGGACGATCTCTCGCCCGACATCTACTTTCAGAGTGACAACAGTCATGCTCCATACATTTTCGACCGATCCTTGGATCCGTACCTTCAGTGGACTTCGTGCTTGGAGGAACCTAGGGACGAGGATACACTACCATCGCGGCAGGAGTATCTGAAGCCGTACGAGATCATCCCTTACGCCTTCCACCCGAGGGCAGAAGAAGTGGTGATCGACGACGACGACGAAGAAAAAGAGGAGGACGACGAGGAAACATCGGAGGAGGGAAGCTATAGTGAACATAGTGAGGGCGAGCTGAGTAAGGAAGAAGAGGAAGAAGAAGGAACCGGGTCCGAGTGGGAAGTCCCGTCGGAGGAAGCGCACGGGAACGGAAGCGGAAGATCCGGAAGCGGCGTGGAAGCGCAAAGAAATTGCCGCCGGGAAGCGACAACTGGCCTTCGCTAGCGAGGCTAGCCTGCGCATCGGTAACGATCCAACCAGGGATCCGGAGCCGCCGAGGCCCGAAGATGGCGACCGTGCAGCCGCCACCTCAAGTACCGCGCGACGGAAACGGCGTCGATCCCCCTCCTCCTCCAGCCCCACCCGTCCCCCAATTCGCCCACGTACCAATGCGGGCAATAGGCCTTCGACCTCGGACGCTGCCCCGCCGACCTCTTGATTTTCTCACCCTCGAGCAGATCCGAACCCCCGTCACCTTCCCTTCCCATCCTTTCCATCCCCATCTCTTTTGCGACTTCTATTCTACCCGTCTACTTGCCACCGTCCACCCCCACGCCTCCCTTCACTCCGCTGCCCCCACGTTTTGCTGGCACCTCCTGTTGTTCAGCATTGCATGGGAGCGATCCAACGTCGTAGAAGTCTACTGCGTTGCCACAGGGACAATCCCCGCCTGTCGCCACTTCGAGATCTTTCAAGCGGCGCTTTTCCACACCCTCTCCTCTTTCTATCGCGATTACCTCGCTTCCCTCCCCCGCAG